TACATTTACATATAGCTAAAAACAAAGTCAATGTATAGAATAAGGGTGTTTAAAGTTTAATTGACGAGCTTTCGAGATTACATCTCTTCATCAGGTCAGCAGACATTGGAATAGAATCAAATAAATACAATGCATTCACGAATTGTGTGAATCATTCATTTTTGATTATCTATAATGCATTGTATTTATTTGATTCTATTCCAATGTCTGCTGACCTGATGAAGAGATGTAATCTCGAAAGCTCGTCAATTAAACTTTAAACACCCTTATTCTATACATTGACTTTGTTTTTATATATATATATATATGGTCCCGTTATTGTCTGTACATCCCTAATAGCAAGTTAACGAAATGTGTACACTTTGTCAGCTCATGTATTGTGCATGTAGGTCATGTGGGCTTCATCCAGATTTATATGTACGTAATATATATAGCGAAAAACGCGCTGTCATGATTGATTCATACTGAAATCCTATATACTAGCCACAAGTTCCCATCTCGCTAATAACACTACGTGGCTACGTACTACCGTGTAACAGTCGGAGAGCCTGGTCGGTATAACTGAAATCCCAACATTTGTACAGTTCTAACCAAATACTGGCAGCAAACCGCTGCAATCATGCGCATGCACTTGCAACCCCTTGCGTTAAAACCATCGATTACTGAGCTGTATGGTAATGATGGTCATCCATGTCTACTGCCATGAATAAATTTGCTGCGTCGAAACCTCTTCACTCTTCCTTCATTCATGCGTGCCTCCGATCGTTGCCTGCATGGAAAGAATGCGGTGTGTATGTTGAAGCATTCATGTATGCATGTCTTGCTATATAAGATCATCGGCAGGACATGCACGTGTCTGCGCGGTTTTCCCAATCCAGTTTTGCAGTCCATAGAATTCGATCACGTAGGATGCGGGCTCACAGTATAGCGGGGTAATTAAATACTTAAAAAATGATTAAAGAGGGAAAAGAGGAGAAAGGGGATCGAATTGCTCCTTTATATCCGAATTCGCGGTGTTACTGGGTGTGTTATAGCGAGTTTATACTGTAAGTAATTTTTGGATACGTTCCTATTGAAAGTTTCTTGCCAAATACGTTAATAAGCCCCCTCTGATCTCCCCTTATAATAGCACAATTATGAATGCAAGTAAACACATGTAAATATATCTATTGATTGAATAGCGAACATAAGAAAGAGTTCGGAATAAGAATTTTCTCTTATATTTTTCATGACGATTGCTCCCGTTTTAGCCACACGTACAGTAATACCCTGTGCTACGACCCACTGTATTACTCCATCCGCATACTGACCATTCGCGCATTCACTACATCTAATCAGCGAATCAATCTGCGAACCAGCCTACCATGCACACAATTGCAGCTCGACCAATTTATACGACTTTACTGTCAGATATCCAGCAAAACCTAATAATTAACATAATATCATACTATTACCGTCTGTTTATTTTTTCGGAATTGGATAGAAATAATTGTAATATGTTGTGATGTGCTATAACTAAAAAAACCAACCATGTGTTACAGTACGACATTCGATTAATAATTAATGTATTGTACTATACGTTATAACACAGATAACATAATCTACTGTACATATCTACTAATACAGATAATAATAATAAATAATAAATTAATAAATAAAAAAATAAATTAATAAATAATAAATAATAAATAATAATAACAGATCTACATAATCTACTGTATCGATTTATGAGATATTATCATCACATATTAATCAAAGCTTGAATATTGATATAGTATCATAACAGTATTAGGATTATCTGGAAATTTATCTAATGTAGAAATATTTCCAATATATGGTGATGTGATATGACCAAAAATTCAAAACACCTGGGGTTTAAGTAGTAATTACATTCAGTAGTATTCATGAGTAATTAGTGGCTAATGGTATATGCATTGCAGCACAGATCTAAATCGAATAATACGTTTATATCAGGAGTCTATCAATATTGATAGACTCCTGATAATATCTACAGATATGTGACAAATATTGAATGCTAACATAGTCTCACTACAAATCTGTTAAAGAGTTGGTAGAAATGTGCCTGAATTTTTATGATACCTTAATTGGCATAAAAACCGTTTGTTACAGGCACGGCGTTTGTTCAGAGTGATCGCAATGAGCGCTATGTACATAGCGAAACGGGTCACCACTAAAAACCTATTGCGTGAAGAGGCATAACTATAGCAAACAAATACGCGTACAATTTTATAATGATAACCAGTAGTTGTATTACCAAGCTGCTATGGTTGTTCGTTACCTAATGAGACTGGTAATGTATTCTGCTGCTAGAATGAGTTTCTGTTGTGTGGATGCTATCTGATAGTGAGTGTAGTTATAGTAAAGCAGAGTAAAGTGTGTGTGTTGCTGTCATTAGGAACTACGTGTTTTTGTAGGATCTACATGATTTTGTCAAAATGAGCAGTTTGTGTACAATGTGGTTTGTGAAATTTATGTGGTTAGTTTGCAAACAGATATCTCTTTTGGCTATTTTGGCAAATTGTGTACCATACGTTATATGCCCTTTATTAAATAGAAAGTTTTGTTAATATTAAAGCAGTTATTCCGTGACAATTCTCATACTAACAAATTATGTGTGTGTGGTTTGTGTATGTATGATTGCGTGCACGCGTGCTTGCCTGTGTTTATACAATGCCGTAGGGAGGGCACGAGCTATGTGTGGGCACTCGCAGTTGTTACTCAGCTAACATAGCTGAATAAACAGGCGTGTTGTGGAACAGGAGTGAATAGGAAGGATGCGCTGTGTAAGAACTAGCAGTGGGCTGCACGCTGTGTATTGATCCTGTACGTGCTACTCTGATGATTACAACATGGACTGTTGCAGTCTAATATAACGCTATTACATGTGAATTCCCAGCATGATTATTGCAATTATTTGTAGCCAGTCACAGTAAAATCTACGTGAGCAATAAATTAAGTTCTAAATGAAAGTTCGTCATGAAAAACGAACTGCTGAGGATCATCCACATGGTACCAACTCCAAACTACGAAGGTTTCCTTTCCCTCGCATAGTGGCAGCAAGCTGTACACAGTCCTTGCTGACGCCATGACTGTGTCAAGAAGTGGGTCACTGCAAAACACCAATTATAACATTCAACCCGATTGGTATACTTTCTATGCAAAAAAAATGAAATGAACATTATCCTGAACAGTTTTTTATGCCTGTCATACATCTTTACACAAGTAAAATTGTTCAACAATAGTGAAGCTTTACCAGGATTAGTTTGACAACATAGGTAGGTGAAATGTAGCTGAAAATGTAGGATACAGATTGCAGCACTTGCAGAACATGGATGTGTAATTAAAGAATTGATAGTGAATCAGAGAATAGAATTTGTACAAATAAAGAACTAGAGTGGGTGATTCCTATAGAGTGGTTTATCTAGACATAGCAAAACCTGCATGGCCATATATTGCCCTATTACCTATTGTTTTCAATTATATATACTAGACAGTAGATATATGATATACCTGTATCGTCTGACCAACGCTTCTTACTTGCTGGGTAAATGGTTCGGCAGTCAGTCAGATGTTACTGTGTCACATAATTACTGTTTTCCTTGTATGTATGTTTATATTTCTGTATTCTGTATGTTGTATTCTTCGAATCCATTTCTGTATGTATGTACTTGCTTTTCGTCTGCACCACCAACCTCAAACATTCTCTTTTTTGACATGGATTTAGTCTTAATGGTATGGCTACTGTTTCTATGGCAACCGACTTCTAGTTGTCTCTTTCTGGAAGCTTTGATCTACTTCCATGTCAATGACTGTTTTCTTCTACACTAACTTTATATTGGGTGTACCAGCAAGATGGGGGTACTGTTACGCTGTGGCGGAGGTTTGCTATCTCCGATTGCTCTTGTTGCTAGAGCCTTTCTAACAGCTGATGCTGAAGAACGGCATAGCAAAACGGCGCTAACTGAGTTTGCATAGAGTACCTGTACCATCCTACGTGACAGGCGTCGCGGAACGATTTTTGAAGTGGGGTGCTCAATTTGTTACGATCCAGTAGAGCGATTTTGTGAGAGCGCCTGTGCGCACGTGTAGCATTTCTTTTCTCTCTCCTCTCTCTCTCTCTCTCTCTCCTCTCTTTTCTCTCTCCTCACTCTTTCTCTCATTTCATTTTATGTGGCATCAAAAAAGTGGGGGTGCTCGAGCCCCTTTAGCCCCGCCCCCGTTCTACGGGCACTGTGTGAAATGATTGTTAGCAAATACAGAGAAAAAGGAGTTTGGCTGACTGTTTATACCATTAAGAATGGTTTTTGAACGTTTTTTTCATACTTCTGCTAGGCTTTGGTAGACATATCTCATTGTTGCGTACCTTGCGTTTAGAATGCCTGTGTCCCGACTCCCTTGTCCCTTGTCCCCTGTATTCTTGCAACATTATGTACTACCGTATATGATCGCGTAATAACCACGGGCGCCTATAAGCCGCACCTCAATTTGAATCGGGTAACCAAGTATTGCGCCTAGTATATTTCCCCTCACGGTATGACGCACTTATAAACCGCAGAGCAAATACAGGGTTGAAATCTGAGGCCAAATTTGCGGTTATTACGCGAGTATATACGGTACTACTTATTTACTATGCATGCTCATTCACAAACAGCACAATAGTAATATTTATGATATAATGTCATGTTTTACAGTCTACCGTGGGTGGTCAACTTATGATTACATAATGAACCAGAGAGAAGCGCATACTGCTGGCGATCCAAATGAACTAGAATATGGGTACAGCGCAGCCAAGTCTTCCAGGGTAAGCCTTAATATACTCCATTAGAGTCTTTTCACTGGCTCTTGTTTACCAGGAAAAAATATTATTAGAATTGATAATTATTATGTATATCGTGTACGTAATCAGAAACGACAAAAATTAAAACTCACAATGTGTACTTCTGTGTTTATTTCTTGTTGTATATTTCCATATTATTCTATAGGCAAATCAGGTAGCACCTGCTGAAGTAACTGAGTGTTCAGATCAGGATGCGTTTAGGCGAAAAGCTGGAAATAATAAGCAGGTAAGATGATCTCTGATTATGAAAAATTAATAAGTATAATTAAAGGGACAGTAGCCTCTAGGATTTTACTGCATACAACTGTACTTACTGTATAACAAATCTGGGGTCGTTGTCGTATCAGGTACTACAGATATGTACCCGAGGTAGTTTTAGGTTGTTTAGTATTATGTTTATATTTTTATATGAGATGTTTAGGGTTAGGGTTAGGGTACAAGTCTGGTACACTTTGTGTATACATATATGTACCTCGGGTACGTATCTGTAGTACCTGGTACGACAACGACCCCTTCAGCGTTAGTTCAATGGGAAGTCGTACTTTGCAGGCAGTCACTAGAGACTAGACACGCTAGTTTTGATTTCCTTGCAGCAACATCACTTATACGCTAACTAAAGCCTTAATCAACTGAAGCACCAATTATCTAACACGAACCTCTCACCTAGGTTACATTGACAGGCTATCATGACTGTACATGTAAGATGCTATGATGCAGCTTATTATATTAGCCTGCTCATATTATCCAGGTTAGTCATGCACGTAATAGCCATATATAGGCTTTATTGATTCGAGTTTTTGCAATTAAGCTTTTAAATTTCTTCATGCCTGGCCAAACTTGCAATTTATAGTACTCAATTCTGCACAATTCTGTGATCCCGATTATTCATCCGACTCCCATCATTCCCTCGTACGGGAAGGAAATTGTGATTTCTTGTGAAACAGAGTGCATCTCCCAGAAGACTGGTTCAGTTATGGTCGTTAGGTTTCGTATGAGTTGGAATATGGATCGACGAAACACCTGCGCAAATGTCAACGGATAATGTATGTATAGCTAACAGAGAAATTAAACGCTGGCCAGGACCTATTGCTAATTGTTATGGTAATTTTCACCAGCACGCTTAAACTCTAATATTTACTCATATGAAAAGTTTTGTTTGGAACGCTGCATGTGATAACAGCATGCAACTGTTTGGCAGTGTTACTATAGCGAATATGGCATATATTCCACTTGGCTTCGGAGCACCGCTATATATATATAGAAGTAAAGTCACACACGAACACCCGTGTAGATAAAAACAAAGTCAATGTATAGAATAAGGGTGTTTAAAGTTTAATTGATGAGCTTTCG